AGGTGATCACCGGCAGTGTTTGGTCAGGTCCTAAAAACACATACTTAAGGGAGTCCGATAAGGGCTTTAGTTTCAGTTGTGGGGGAGATTCAAGAGAAAGCACAGGTGGTTCACTCTTTACTTGTGGCAGAGGTTCAACAGTAGGCCAAGATTGAAATGGGCGAGGAGACTTCATTAAGGCATTAATTTCTTTCGTCAGGTCATCTACTATGACCAGATTGGTTTCTCCAGGGTTTCTCTCTACATCTATTGTACAACAATTCCTATTATGTTCTGGGTAGGCAGAAGGATTTTCAGACTCATGCAGGTCTTCACACTTTCCCTCCTTTTGAAGAGCTGAGATTTCTTTAGCATTTTCTAAGTATGGGACATTAAAGGTTGTAAGATCTTGGTATTGGGGAAGACCTAAGGATTCATCTCTAGGGTCTATAACCATCTAACTAAGCATTGAATCATTTTCCCACTGCAGGTTAGCTTCCATGAGCTGAATTACTTGGCTCTCTAATTTTAGGATTGACTGTTGTTGAGCTAAGATCAGTTGTTGGAACTGCAAAAACCTATCATCAAATGAATTGGCTTGATAAGGCTGAACCGGTTGGGTCCCAGGGTAATCATTATACTCATAGTGAGCCTGGGTTGTAGACCATTGAGAGTGCACATCTGGCAGGGTGCTTTCTTGGGCTTGGGCCCAATAAGTGAAATTGGGTTGATTTTCCCACCCAAGGTTATATGGACTAAAGGATGGGTTAACATTGGGTTGGAGAAATCCGTTAGCTGCATGTACTTGCTCTGGAATGACCGGTTGACATGGGCCCATCGCAGGGCACTAACTAACATGATGGGCCAGGCTTGCACAGATGGAACATGTTGGACAGGATGACAAGGTTGGGAATGGGTAAATTGTTAACGACATGCAAGGACTTGGTCAAGTCTTTGGGATCCCATTGATCTTGTCCAGTTGTCGAGACACATGGTTCCAATCTATCTGTGGCTTAGATTGGAAGTAGTTTCTCATTCCACAAACTCTGACCATTGCATTCATTTTATTTTGTTTTAAAATTTTTTTAATTTCAAATTTAGATTTTGAAATTTAAATTCTACAATTTAAACTCAAATTTGAAATTTTTCTCTTTTTTTAATTCAAATTTTAAATTTTTTGAAATTTAAATTCAAATTCAGATTTTGAAATTTAAATTCAGATTTGAATTTTTAAATTTAAAAAAAAATGCAAGCAAATCAACCACATGACCTAGGGGCTGTTGACCTAGGGTTTCCTAAACTAGTGGTTCAACCAATGTGAATCCTTTTAGGTTCACTTGGAATTACCCCACTTTCTTTGGTTAGCCAGATAAGAGGTGGGGATGTGAGTGGCTCCCCTTGCTCTCACAAGGACCTAATTAAGTAACCACAAAACCCGCTTTGGCGTAGCCATTTAACCTCTTTCCTTAGACACCAACCACCGGTTATGGAAAGTATTTACAAGCTTTCTTAAAATCCAGCACGCCTTTGAACCAAATGTGAGGCTCCCTAAAGGATCTTGCTATCCAAATTTTAAATTAGGGTTAGGGTGAACCGCACGTGAAGGGTGGTGATTTTTGGGCAAAGAAAGGGTGACGAAATCCCCACCTTATCTTATTTAAATTGGATGCCCTTAAAATGGATTAACGGAAAAGAAAAATAAACACAACAAATGCAACTAATTACAATGCATGAACAAGTATTTCTAATATGAAATTCAGCAATATAACATAAAAGAATAAAATAAACTAAGCAAGAGAAATAATTAAAATGATAAAAAGAAAGAAACCCTAACACATTCACAACTAACAATGATAATTTAACAATTAAATAAACCTATATGATGCATGCTTTAGAATATGAAACCCTAAATGTTGGAATGCAGAAGTTAATTTTTTTTTCGATTTTTTATTTATTTATATATATTTTATTATTATTATTATGTTTTTTTAATTTTTTTGAAATTCGAAATTCTAAATTTAAATTTCAAATTTTGAAATTCAAATTCAGATTCAATTAAAATTTAAATTTAAATTCAAATTCAAAAATTTTAAAAATTTTCTCTTTAACAATTAATTATTCAATTAAAGCACTAATAAAAAGGAAATTAAATAAGGCAACAAATAATTATAACAAGCAGAAAATAAAAGAAATAATTATGCTAACAAGATTAACAACTACCAAAATAAATTCTAACAAGAAAATTTCTATTCTAAAAATTAAACTGAAAATAAAAAATAAAAAAAAAACAAAATAAAATTATGCAGGAATAAAAAAATAAAATAAAATAAACAAAAAAAAAATCTATTTTTTTAAATAAAAGAAAAACACAAACCTAATAAGATAGAAATTCGAACAAGAAATTAAAATAAAGAAAGAAAAATAGATGTAGAAACAAAACTGGAGAAAAAAATTAATACTAAAAAAATAATTAAAAATTCAAAAATCGCTATTCAACTTTAAAAAAAAATGAGTTCAAAAATAAAAACAAAAAAAAATAAAAATAAAATGGGACGACTACACCTAAAATGCAATCCAATTTCTCTTCTCTTCTCTTCTATCCCACAGTCCCATAATGCTTCGGTACCCCACCTTTCGCTATTCCGTCCTGCAGAATCAAAGAGAAACAAGAATTAAACTAGGATAACAGATCAAGTAATCAAACGAAAAAGAAAAAATAATGAAACAGATCCAAAAAAAGTAAATAAAAGTTTTTTCTCCGTGCTTCCCCGGCAACGGCGCCAAAAACTTAGTGTGTCCGGAAGCGTGTCGTTAAGCACTTCGGAACACCAGTATAATATTTATAAAATTTTTCGACTATCAAACAAATACTAACACAATAAAGGGATGAGAATGGGTCGTATCCACAGGGAAGCGAGGGAAAAATTAATATACACTCAAATCCGGACAAAAAAAACACAAGAAGGAAGTGCAGAAATATAAAAATTAATTAATTAAATTGAGAAAAATATAGAATTCGAACAGTACTGAAAGTTAAAAGTACAAAAACATAAATAAATACAGAAATAAATTAACAAAAGAAACGAAATAAAAATCTATAATCCAATCAGAAGTAGTAGTCTCCGGATCTCTCCTTTGACCCTCGAACTTCTCGAGCTAGGCCTTTCGTCTTACCTGGCCAAATTGTAGATCTACAGAAAATAAAACGAAGATCAAAAGGAATGAAAATAAATTACAGAAAGTAAATAACGAAACTGGAATTGAAAGAACAAAAATTAAAACTAAAATAAAGTAAAAGTGGTTGGGATCCGATTCCAGAGGTGGCAGTAGTAGTGTTGGTGAACTACAAGTAGGAACCCCTCCTCTTACTTGGGCATCCTCCTCTTCCTCTACCCTTAAACTTCTCAAGACCAGCCTTCCGTCTTACCTGGGGGCAGAATCCAACCCTTTCTCAGGAGCCCTTGGGTCCTTTTTATAGAGAAGGGTGGATAGAACTAGGATTAGAGAGAAAGAGGGGGGTGGCAACTGCGTTTTAGCAAAGATACGGGCGCCCTAGGGTTTCTAATGGAGGGTTAGGATGGTTCTAGGGTGATCCTAAGGCTGAGAAGAAAAGGAGAAGGCACCCAATATTATGTAAGGCTAAGATTTAATGACTAAAGGTTGAATGGTGAAGATTAGAAGTTAGATAGCTCCTAGGGTTAGAATGCTAAAAAGAGAGTGCCCCATAATGGATGGTGGAGATTAGAAGGGATGGAAGGTAAGGATTTAGCAGTTAGGGGTGGATAGGGTTAGTTAAGAGTGAAAAGAATGGGTTAAAAAGTGCCCTAGGGTTTAGTAAGGCGTGGGGAGCATGTTAATACTGTAGGAGGGGCGCCAAACTGGTTTAGCAACTAAGAGGCGCCCTCTTGCTTTCAATTTTTCACGAAAACACCCCCTCTCTCAGTTGGACTTCACACTAGCTTCCCAAAATCTGCATTTCAGTCATGAAAATTTGCCAATTTTCCCCAGAATTTGCACAGGGACCCTCAAATGCCACACAACATTGCATTTACTGAGAAAATGACACATCTTGACTATTCTAAGGCCAAAAATACCCATAAATTGATGCCCTTAAGGCATCAAAATGCAGAGTTGTAAATACACTCAGATGATCAATAAGGACTTTATTCTATGATGAAATGTATATAAGCTCAAGCTTCATTCGAAGCCTTTCTAACTACTAAAAAGCTTATTTCAAGGTCATAAACGAGAGACTTCACACTAAAAATGCTCAACCCAATTCCGCAACTCGATTAAACTTTGTTTAAAGTCTTTCTAACTACCAAAAAGTTTATTTTAAAGTCACACACGAGAAGTCACACCGGGAAATTTGTTTCTGAAATTTTAAAATTAGAAGGTGCAGCATCTTAGATTCATGCGCACATTGGTTAACACTTCACAGATAACAATGGAAACAACCTAATGGCAGAGAGAGAGAAGACCCATTTTAGCGGCCAAGGCGATATCGCAAAATGGCATTAAATAGCGAGGAAAGAACCAAATCAACAACAGCGAACCTTTAGACCTCACCAACATTCTGTCGCTCAGTTTTAGCCTTTTGGGAAAAATACACTTTGAATTTCTAAACCTTATATTTATACCGTACATGTTTTTATTTGGGATCTTACCAAATTAAGCCTCCGGAAAAGAAATACTTTAGGCTGTGTATAGTTGTAATGCAAATTTATTTGCACTGATAAACAATGAGAGTGTAAATGATTTCGTGCAAATTATGATATTCTTATTTCAAAATTTACCTTGATATCGGTACAAATAAAGTAAAATAAGACCTGAAACAGAATAAAATTAATCTAGAATTACATTTTTTTCATTTGCACTCCCATGCATTTGTACTAATGAAAATAAAATTGCACAACACCCACACTGTCGACTTCGAATCTTTGAAAGATAAAGTTAAAAGTAATTGAAATTTGATAATTTTGTTTGGAGAAAGGTACCCTATTATATTATTTATCGAGCTGTGAAAAAAAAAGTCGCTAAGATAGATGGAACACTACGAAAGAGTAGTTCTGACAGTTCCTCTTCCATCAAGAACTAGTAACAAAATCAGATCTCATGACAAATTTAAGACGGTACTCTGCGACATACTCGATATATAACTGCAACAAATTTAATATATAACAGCTTTTCTGGTTGCATATAACTAAAACTATCAAAAATTAAGAGAACTCCGCCATACTCGACACCCCTTTACGCCAAACTTGAGCTACCAGGTCCCGCGCCATAACCACCACCTCCACGGCCAAAACCAGGCCTTGCACCAGGACCCTGCGAGTTCAAAAGTAACACGTTGAATACATAAATGATGAACCATTATTTTTCAGTAGATCATGACTGAAACTATGACTGTTAAATCATGACTGCTATCAAATAAAATACTTTTTTGACTGAGACTACTTATTAGTGACAATTGAGAGCAAAAATAGCCCACTCAGCCACAAAAGCCACCCACAATACAATGAGATTCAGTCACACCAGTAGAGGGAAGCTGTTCAAATCCCAAACAAGGTTGCAGTTTATCTACCAAAACAGCATGCAACAGCTTGCCAGACAAGGTTACCACTTGAATCAGATGTTTAGTGAAGAGACCCAAGCAAACTCGAAACTCCCCCGGACCCCAATCACAAAATGCACCTGATCATGTTATTTTATAAACTTGAAAGGTAATTAATTGACTTAGTGAAAAGAAGTAGTAGCCTGTGGTTATGATGCTTTGATCCTGCACTCTTACAAAAGGGCAACCATGTTACCATCTGATCACTCTCATTCACACTCTTGTTTGACTTAAAAAACTCTAATTTTTGAATTTGGTCCACTAATTGTGAGGATATTTTTTTTATAAATACACTAATTGTGAGGATATTAATACCCTAAATCAAAATTAAGGTATAAACTCCCATTAACATTCATTGAATCCTATTTTTGACTAGAATACCCCTATTGTTGAATTTGGTCCCTCTCTAATTGTGAAGGCACAAAATATAATTTATACTACATTTCCCCGCATTCAATTCCCTCTCATCAAGTTTTATATTTAGAGTACTAACAACTCCCATTCTCTAATTAAATCATATTAACCTATTCTTTTTACCAATAAATTATACTCATCATTAGCATAAATAAATCTATACTACTATTAAAAGTGTGAATGAGAGTGAAGAAGTCTGACTTAAAAAACACTAATTTTTGAATTTGGTCCACTAATTGTGAGGATATCTTTTTTTATAAATACACTACATGTGAGGATAAATATAAACAACCACTTTTCTCGTCATTTAAACCTCTCCCTAAATCATAATTAAGGTATAAACTCCCATTAACATTCATTGAATCCTATTCTTGACTAGATTACCCCTATTGTTGAATTTGGTCCCTCTCTATTTGTGAAGTCACAAAATGTAATTTATACTACATTTCCCCTCATTCAATTCCCTCTCATCAAGTTTTATAATTAGAGTACTAACAACTCCCATTCTCTAATTAAATCCTATTAACCTATTCTTTTTACCAATAAATTAGACCTAAATCCATGATGTCATATTTAAAAATTTTAAAATAGAAATAAATGAAAATACAAAAAATAGACAATCTCTAATGTTAAGGAAAAATAACAGTGACAAATAATAATTGTTTTTATTGATGTTGAAATGAAATATAAATTCAAAACTAGCGTTTGACCCAAAAGGTTCAATTGATGATGGAATATGTTTCCTAGATTTTTCAACAATTCAACCTTTAAAATCAAATGTGTCAACCCATGACATTATAGTTCAATAATAAAAGGTAAAAAAAAATAACACAAAAATATATATAAAAAAATGTATAACAGATTAATTGTTTTCGTATTTGGTGGTGAGTCAACAACTCAACCTTTTGGATCAAATGTGCCAAACCCTTGATGTTGCATTCATGAGTGTCTATTTGAGATAAACTGGAATAACCTTAATCATTAAACAAAAGTACCACCATCCCGGTACAAACTTTTCTAACTACTAATAGGTATATACTTTACATTTTCATTGCATCCCCAAAGTGTCCCAAAAAATAATTAAAATAAATTAAAGAACATAGTTCCCTCAGGAGACAATATTGAACATCCAATCATTGAAAATAATCGGTATTAGCATGGTAGAAATAAGCATCATTGGGAACGGTAGCCTCAATACAAAAAAATGATAGAAATATAAACTACATAAAACAATAATGAATAAGAATCATAATGAGATACTTGTGCTCAGAATTGATCAAAAAAAGAAGATAATTGTGCTCAGATATATGTCAAACAATCTTTTCCCAGACCTTTGAGTAGGTCTCATAATGAGCTGGGAATAAGAATATCATCATTGCATCGGAAAACAGAAGATAAAAAGCATTAGAATCAATGAATATAGAATGTATGCAGAATACAAGTTCACAAAAGTAGTTGGCATGGCTCTAACCACTCCTCTAACTACAGGTCCAACCCATGCAGCATACAAATTCACAAAATTAATGAATATAGAATGCATGAATGAAAGCAAGGAACAAAGACTGAAAAAGGTGAGTGAAGGCCCCTCTTACGTTCTCTAATCAAGGGATCCAAAGAAAGGCTCTGTAGTACGCAAGTGCATTAGTAGCAGTATCAGTGCTCTTTAATTGGCAAACACCAAGAAAACAGTGATATGTAGTTCTGCTTGTTATGGATGATATGGAAACATCCAAACCCACATACAGTGTTTTAAAGGTGCAAGGCACAAAAAAGGCACAAGGGCCAATTTGCACCCAAGGAGAAGCACAAGGCGAGGCACACGCCTTTTTGAAGCAAGGCGCAAAAATACAAAAAACAAATTGCTAAAAAATCAAAAAAAGTGAGAAATTTCAAAAAAAAATGACAATTCAAAAAAAGCAAAAAAAGATGAAAAAATATTAAACATAATATTAATAAGAAATATAAACTTAATTTTTTAAATTAATGGTTTTAAAAAACCTCTTATCTAAAATTAAAATACATAAACATAACATGTAAAGCATATTCAAATGAAAATTTAAAAATAAAATCAAACATATAAACATTTCCAAGCATTTAAAACCCACAATCTCTTTTTTTCTTTGATTGCACTACTTCAAGTAGCTAATGTGATGTAAAACATATTACATTCCTAATTCTACGAGTCACCTTTGTGCCATGTGGCCCATGCCCCTTGAGGCAAGCCCAAATAAGTCCATGTTAGGGTCCTAAATTCTTAGTTTTCACACAAAAATATTGATTTTATAATTTTAATTGCATTTTAAGAAGATATTTTAGTAGGATGAATGAATAAACATTACCATATAGGGGGTTCTCAGAGCTCCAAGGGTGGACCCCCGCCCAGCCGCTAGGTTCAAAAAAAGCAAAAGTGTACAATTTTCACAAGGCACAAGGTGCATCAGGTGCACACCAAGGCAATCCAGGTGTGTGCCTTTTGGAGGTGCTGTGCCTGTGCCTAGGACCTGGGCAAGGCACGTACCCTAAAATGCACCTCGCCTGTGCACCTTTTAAATCACTGCCCACATATATGCAGCAGCATCCTGCTTCTGCAACTTCTATTCATGTTTGTCACAAAAACATTGGTTATTTGTTAACATTCCAGTAAACTCTTGCATCACTTCACAATGCTTGCAACGATTATCTACTCTTGGCCTTTTCCTTGATGAAATTATCAGAAAACAGATCCATGTCCAAGCACAAGGACTACCAATCTTGTGATTGCAGAGGTGAGCAATTTATCACTTAATTCCAAATATAAAGGGCACATAAAGCACAACATGGGGTTTGGCAAAACCTTCCCCAACCAAATATATCACTAAAACAGACCTATAATACTTTAACAACAAAAATCCTATTAATAAATGTTTGCTTGCCTAGGAAATGATGCATATGAAACTTGTATAGGCTAGAAGCCATGACTGACTTGGTTCATGTTTGAGAGAATTAAATACTTTCATGAACTCAGAATCCAGCATTAAACACCATCTAAACTCCAAGGACAGAATTGCATGGACCCAATCAAGAAGAGCATAAAAGGAGATGTGCATGCAATCTGTGTGTCAACCCTGAAAGGCTCCAAACTCTTGGAGTGCCTATAGAGCATGCATGAATATATTTATGTACATGTCAGAGAGAGTGAAGCGGATAGGGGTGAGCTGGAAGCCTGGGACAAGGGAATAAAAAGAGTAACATGAAATTTTTTAGTAAAATAACAAGCACTATGGGCATTTTAAGGGGTAAAGCCAAGAAGCCAAACCAAGGTACTTTTACTTAAAGCCTAAAGGAATGTAGAAAAACGAATTGGGCTTAATTTTAAAATTTTTCTTTATTTTTGTGGTAATGTGGAAAATGGAAACATTTAAATGCCTGAAGCATAGGATGGGGGTTTGACTTGTATTACGTGTAAAGAGGGAAACAAAAAAGCATAGTGAAGCATGTAGCATATCAACTTGAAGAATTCACACCACCATGTGCCATCAAGCTACTAGAAACCTCAACTCAACTCAGCCTTAATCCCAACAATTTTCAATTGACTTGAACACACCTCTCTACTCTAATTTATGGACAACATCCTATTTAATTTCTCTATCATTACATATGATTGTTCCAAGGTAGAGTGGTTTGCATGAGGATTCTCCTGATAACTCATTATTTAATTTCTCATAGTGTGAGAGTCATCACCAAGACATTCATTATGTTTCTTCAATTCAAGTTAGATTTTGCCACCAATTATAATCAGGAAAACAGACTGAGTACTAATTACTAAAGCCCAGGTACATCACTATTTGCCACACTTCTTTACCTAATAATGTCATGTAGTAGATAACACATGGGAGACCCAATATTTAAGTTTCTCAAGGAAGTGCAAAAGACAAAGTGAAAACAATACTGTCTTAAAACAAGAGTATAGTAATAAAGGCAAATCTACATCAATATTAGAAAGAGAAAAGAGGGTAGGCGAGGGGGTCCTCTAGCCACAAAGCTCATACACTCTGCTCCTCTCATTTTTCAGACGTTGTCATCTATTTTTAATTAAATTATTAAAAATGTAAGAAATTACAATGAAATCCATCATTACTCTAATAAAATCATTCTGAACCTCACCCCCGATAGTTAATGTCTGTAACACCTCCCCTCCCATTAAATCTCCATTGACCCTTTTGACTATCTTAATAAAGCAGGGGCATAAATTAGATGGGCTTGAGTCAAGATAAGAGCCATCCCAACCCTAAAATATGGAACCTAGCATGGACCCAAACTGATATTAAAACCCAAATTTGCAACCCTAATCTAACCAAATTTCTATTCAAGTCCATGCATTTGGGTTCACTTGCTAGTAATAACAACAAAACATACAAAATGTAGCTTCTAATTACACAGATATTAAAATACCAGTACTTAACCAACCGATAGAATCTAACAAATCAACAAATGTCAGCAACCATGACAAGGTGCCAAATAGCATTTAAGATTTCATTACCCTAAACGATGGTTGGTACTCAGGCGGGGCTCCTCCCTTGTCACCGAACTCACCAGGAGGTCCTCGTGGACCACCACGGTACCCATCACGGTCGCCAAACCTAGGCCGGTCTCCCTCAAAACGAGGCGGTCCACTAAAACCAAAACCACAAACTCGTAAGGATGGTTAAAAAAGCATATAGGCGTAGGCCTACCAGCAGAAAACATTGAAAACGGACATCTTTGGCAGGAAACATTTACCGTGGGCGATCTCCGGGAGGCCCGCCCATAGGCCTCCCAGCAGGCTTAACAGATTTCTTCAAAGTGGCAGGGACGATCTCCGAAGGGAGGTTGAGGTATGTTCGGAGGAATTCGATCCCATCGTTTGTGAGGTACCAATAGTAGTGCATCCAAGCGAAGGTCTCACGCACATACTCTTTCGATTTAAAGCTTTGCATCAACTTGATGACCTGTAGATTCGGCACATCGATGTCCGGGTGCTTCGCAAGATTAAAATCTTTCTTCGCATAGCAAACGCCCTCTGTACATTTACAAGAAATCGAGAGATAAAATCAGACGTCAGGAATGAAACAGTGACAATCATTAAAAAGTCCCCAAAACAAGCAAAGAAAATAAAAAAGAAAAAAAGAAAAGTAGAAACCTTGGAAGAGATACTTGGAGATCTCTCTCCGGTTCTTCTCCGGAATAATCTGCAATTGCGAAGACGAGAATATCAATGATCGAGAACAAATCTAATAGTAATGAGCATAGCAACCTCAAATGCATGGTTATAGAGAAAATAGCAAGTTTTAGTACCATGGCTACAAAGGTGAAAGACGCCTTCTCCTTCCTGGTTCTCTCGTTTATCTCTCTCCGTTTTCAGTCACAGCAGAGACCCCAAAACCCTAGAAACATTTTCTTATATAGTTAGATTTGGGCCGAGATTGAATCTAGGGTTATTTGGCTCTCGTACCAGGGCGGCCCAGTTCGGTCATATATACTTATGACCAGCCCGAAGACAGGCCATGGACTGACCTTATTGGCTACCGGGGCTCAAGTACGCTGGTTGAGCCACAAGGCCCACAACCACAATATTCATCAAGTGAAGTAGTGTTTACTTTTCTTTGTAGAGAAAATGGGGTGCTACACAAACCGAGGTAGCAAAAATCATTACGTATCGGCCGGTATTGTATCGTGTCGGATAGAGGTGCTCACGAACCATGGTGCCTGGCGGAGCCGCATAGAGGAGAGGTGAGAGAGAGAAAGAGAAGAGAGATACAATATCAGAGATGGCATTGGTGCGTGCCGGCGAGGTGGCGACCGATGTTGCTGCTTGGTGCTGGTGGTTGGTGTGGGCCGCGCAACCGTCTGGGGAATAAGAAGATTTGAAGATGACTGTAAGAGAGACTGAGAACTTCAAATAGAACTGAGAGAGACGAAAGAGAAAAGATTGAGAGAGTGAGAGAAGGTTTAGCCATTTAGGTTTCTAATTCGAAGAGACAAAAGAGAAGAAAGGCTTGAAAATTTTCGATTTTCGAGACTGGGAGACTGGCAGTCTCCAGTTTGTAGGGGTGTAAACGGATCGAATTCGAATTGGATCAGGCAATATCTGAATTTGAATCCGATTAAAAAATCTGATATCCGATGGATATTGAAAATTAATATCCGAATTCAAATCCGATTAAATATTCGAATATTCGATTCGATTCAAATTTGATTAATTAATTATTTTAGATAATTAATAAATATTTTATTGATATAAAGTATATAAATATATAAATTATTTATATAGCTTAATTATTATATATATAAAATATATATCCTATTTTATATATTATATATAAGAATTAAATAATCGGTTGAATTCAGATATTTATCGAATCGAATCAGGTCATATTCGAATATGAATCTGATTAACTATTCAATATGAATAGGATACCCGAATTCGACCGATTAGATATTCGAATTATCTGGATTCGATTATGTTGAATATCGAATTCGAAATCGGATTTTCGAATACCATTGACACCCCTACCAGTCTGGCACTCTAGCACTCTAGCAGAGGCAGACTACTGAATAAACTTTCAATTGAAACTTTATTAGATTTTCAAAAAAAATAAAAAATATAATATAATATATAATATTATATAAATATATATTACTGTATATATATCGATCGGTTCGGTTAATCGCCGATTTTTTTAAATGGTTAACCGAAACTATCGGTTTTTTAAGAATATCGAACCGAAACTGAACCGACCGGTTCAGTTAACTGATTTTTCGATTCGGTTTCGGTCGGTTCGGTTTTTCAATTGTTTTTTGCTCACCCCTAGTATCGAGCCCTTCCTGATACGCCCCTACAAGGGTTGTATCAGGTCAGGGCCTGGTTTAAAGGGTAGCCAAGACTTAAACTAGCCCCTCTAAACCAAAATCGAAAAAAAAAAATGGAAGTTAAAAAAAGGGCCGATACTGGCCAATAAGTATCAATACTTTGAATTTTGGGTAGCTCTTCCCCAAGAATCAGAAAAACAAATTTAACTAATGTTATGCAAGATTTTTTTTTCTAGATTTCTTAGCATTTATCGCAACTAGAAGCAAGATGGTCCACGTCACCATGTCAATCTTTGCTCTAAACCTCTCTTCCTAATTTCTTGTTTTTTTTTTTTAATTTCACATAATTACCCATTAAACCAAGAAATAACATAGGCTTAACTATTTCTAACAACCATAAAGAAAGAGGGATTTGCTTTTCTAATGTTTAGCAAAGTGGCATCACTTTCCCTCACTTTCTCCTAAATTGTCTCTAATTCCTATATATCTCCTACATTATCTCTAATTCCTATTTTTCCTCTCCCCCACTTTTTATCCACACCTATTTAAAAAAGTTTCAATTAAAAAATTTCAGAATTATTTAAATATTATAACAAAATTATATACTAACTTTAAAATATTTATTCAAAACACAAAAAATAATTATAATAGATCTAATAATATTCTAATAATTCTATATTTTTTTTATAAATTCCATCATGAAATTATGTAGTAAAAATATAAATTATAATTTTATGAATTATTCAATTTAAATGTCATTCAAATAATAAAATATAAAATTAAAAAATTATTTAAATACTTCAATAACTAAATATCTTAAATAAAAAAACATTAAAATAGCTAAATAATTAAATACTTTATATATTATTTAAATATTTAAATAATGAAATATTTAACATGACTAAATTTTAAATAGTTAAAATAACGAAATTATGTAATAAATTTAAAAAAAATATTAAAAGTAGAAAAATAATTATAATAGATTTCATAATATTCATATAAATAATAATTTAACAAATTAATAACAAATTTTAATAATTAATATTTTAAAATTTTAAATAACAATATTATTTAAATAACTAAACAATAATGTAAATAACTAATTTCAGTTATATCAATTAATAATTATAGAAAATAACTTTCAAAAAAGTTAATATTTATTAGTAATAATTTTACAATAATAGTGTATATTCATTACATATTTATATGTACTAAAATTAATATTTGTAGTATTTTTAGTAATTATTTATTATATTTTTTGATAAATATATTTTCAATAATTATTTATAAATATATTTTTGTTTTATTATTTAACAGAAATTTGTCAATAATTATTGGAGATTGAACAACTATTGTTAACTTTTGAAATTTAAGTTATTGTATTTATTGAATTTTTGTTATAAATTTATTTTTAGTAATTATGTATTTTTTATAATTTATTGATTAATATTTATTAGAGATTAAACTATTATTTGAGATTACACTATTTATTGACTAATTTAGTATATTTCCAATATTTGTAACTATTGTATTTTTATTAGATATCTATTGTATTTTCATTGTAAATTTATTTTTAATAATTATGTATTTTTGCTATAAATTTTTAATAATTATTAGAGATTAAACTATTGTTATTTATTAGAAATTAGACTATTATTTTAGTTGAAATTAGGAGTGTTCAAAGATTGGTTCAGCTCGATTATAGGTTGTTTCGCCAACCAAATCGACCTAGTCAGGTTGGGAGTTTATCACTCGAAACTGACTAACCATTAGTGAAAACTGACCAACTCATGTTGTATTGGTTTGGGTCTATTTTTTATTTAGTTTGTTTGTTCAAAAGATTTAAACTTAAAAATTAAATTTAAATTTAATAAATTATAGTGGTATTATTAATAAATACATTTATAATATAAAATATTTTAGACTACAAATTTGGTAATTTTCCCACTTTCCCATATTAAAAAATTATATTTAAAATATAAAACATTAATATATATATCCATGGTCAAGTCGGTTCGGTTTTGGTCGGTTTACAAATGGCCAAACCAAAACTAACCTAACTTGGTTGGGTTGGAAAATTGTTGAATCAAAGCCGATTGGAAAATACTAGAAAATCGACCAACTAGGATCGAGTTCAACTGGATTGGTCATTAAAATATTAAAATACAAAACAATTATATACTCTTATGTGTTTCTATTGTTTAGCTTTCGCTTAATAAAGCCCGTGCATAACACAGGTCTCCGCTATTATCAAATACATCAGGTATGCAAAGGTTGCGTGCATAGGTATTTGTGGGTGGGACATTAACATTTGAAACCATTAGAATACCTACACTCTTTGTTGTATTGTTGGATATTATTGATAAGATACAATGTGTCAAGTGATGTGATTTTTTTTTTTTGGTACTCAAAAAGGGAAGATATCATTCATTATAAAACTCCATCAAGAAGGAAATACAAAGTCATAATTCTCATTCATGTAACAATAAATTCAAGAGGTAAACATATTCGCAGTCATAAAAGCATTTCTTGGTTGAGTAACAGCTTTTGTGAGCTCATGGGCAAGAGTGTTTGCAAGTCTAGGAGTGTAGGAGAATCGAACACGTCTTCTTTTGCAATTTAGACTATGGATGTCATGAATCACCGGGTGAATGGGGAAGAAGTTTTGTTTATCCCCCTAATAAAGACTATCAATTTTACCCCCCTCTTAAAGATTTTCTATTGCCTATTTTGAGTCAGACTCGAAGATAACATTATACAAACCAACCTATTCCTACACCCCCTGACCCATTCTTGGGTCAAAAACCATTGACTTCGTTAGAAAACCGCTAATCCGGGCGGTCGAACCGTCAATTCGTTTGACCTGGATAGCGGTTCGCGGTTTAAGAAATTACATAACATGTAATTACCCACCTCTTAACCCCAAATCCCAAGATATCTTTACTTAAAACCAAGAAAAGACAAAATAACATTTAAAAGTTCATCACATTTATATTTTCTACCATTAACAATCCTAAATATGAGACTACCATGACATGCCCCAAGCTCCCATTGGACACACAAAACCCATGAAAACCACCCCCAAATCAAAGAAAATGTTTCACCAAATAGGAAAGCTTGATTGAACATCTATTTCTTTGAAGAATCTTTGCCAATTTGTATGAAAAAACCTCTATTGAATCCCAAGCACTATAGCTGAATGAATTCAAACCTATCACCCTCCCTTTCTCTATATATACTAATATAATTCGAACTCAAAATTGTATCTTATTAATTGGAGCTTACCATTTGTCATTCCAATTTCATGACTAATCAGACCTTACCATTGTATTCGGGGACCCAAAAAACCCCATCACATCAAATTTCATAACCAAACACCTCCATTTGATCATTGAAAATGTAGATTCAATTTTGGGCCCTCTCGTAGATTAGAAAACCATAAGCTAAGATCATGACCTGAACTAAATCTGTTAATCCACTCTTCTTATCAAAGATACGTAGCTTCCATCACATTCAGGACGACCAAAAGTGCCTACCTACCAATTTTTATCCCAAAATTCCCTTGTTTGAGCTTGACCCTTCATCAAACCAAGGTCA